CCACAATATGGGGAGCTCCTGAAAGATTGTCAGTGGCATTCCTACTAACTATACTTACCCTGTCTTCAGTGCTCTGTATTGGGGACGTTCAATAAGGCAAAAATATGACATAAGGACCCGAACTTACATCAAATTCGCAATTTCGGACCCAAACTTCGATTGTGCTCAATGAAGGTCCCGAACTCCTCGAAATTCTCAAATAAGGTCACAATTGGACGGAAAACTAACTTCCGTCAAATCTCCTATTATTCCGTTCATGTTCCGTCAAATTTCAAAAAAATTGGTTAAATGCTAATTCTGATCCCTCAACTTCATTGAGTTTCTTTTTTTTGTCCCTCAACTTCATTAAATTTTACTTTTTTATCCCTCAACTTCATTAAATTTCACTTTTTTATCTTTCAACTTTATTGAATTGTACTTTTTGGTTCATAAACTATTTTTTTGTACTTTTTTTGTTCTTAAATTATTTTTTACACTTTTTTAATTCCTTAACTTTAATAACTGCACAATTTTGATACTTTCATCAGTTTAAGCCATTAACTCTGTCCACTTGGTATTTTTTATATTTTTTTGATGACATGATAATCTAACTAGAAAAAAATAGGTTTAAGTACCATTTTGGTCCCTCAACTTTCCACTTTGGCACCAAAATTGTCCCTCACCTTTAAAAAGTACCAAAATTATCCTCAAACTTTCATTTTCGGTACCAAAATAGTCCTTCCGTCAGTTAAATGACAGATGGCACGTTAACTTGCCAGCAAATCACTGGATTTTTTTCTTAACTAATGACATGGTACCTTTTTTTATGAGTTGGCATTTTATTTCATCCATGTCATCTCTTCTTCCTCTTTCACTTTCTCTCTCTTATCGCTTCTTCTTCCTCTCCAAATCAAACCCAGATCTGGGTTTATCTCAAACCCAGATCTGGGTTTATCTCAAACCCAGATAACTCCTTCGATACCACTAAAACGCAACAAAAGAGAAACTAAATCACAGTCTAACAATAAAACTTCCATGTCATCTCTTCTTCCTCTTTCACTTTCTCTCTCTCTTGTCCCTTCCTCTTCCTCTCCAAATCAAACCCAGATCTGGGTTTTTCTCAAACCCAAATGACTCCTCTCACACCATTGAAACGCAACAAAGAAAAACTAAATCACAGTCTAAAAAAAAACCTCAAATACATATTCGAATTTCATCAAACCAAGTCAACTCACATGGATGCAAATAAATCAAAAAGAAACAGTACCGAACCACCGGAGACTCGATATGCAGCAAACCAAAACCTAAATGCCGGCGAAATCAACACAGAAACCAGCGAACACTGGTTTAAAGAGAACCAAAAATTCTAGTCCTAGTTCCATCAAGACAAAGAAAAATAGCACAATCAGGACCAAAAATCAACCACGAGTTTGAAAAAACAGAACAAAAACCATGAGTTCGAAAAAATTGAACATAAACCACAAGAGTTCAAAAAACCAGAACAAAAATGAAGCTCGCATCAGTGGCTAGCTCGTTAGAGGCAAAAGCCCAAGAGATTGTAAACCACAGAGCCAGCTAGATCCCAGAAACCAGCTACATCCCGACGCATGTTACTGCCGGAGCCGGAACTGACAGAGCCAGATCTCGACGCGGCCGGGCCTATAGTGAGCCTGCAACGGCGCAAACCAGCCGTTGCTGTTGCAGAGCCGTGCGGGGGCCATGACGCCAGGCTTCAAGCTCTTCTTCACAACAGTATCCGTCGATTCAAAGAAGAAATGGCGAGTGAGGAAAGAAGCGGAGGTGGATGGAGAAATGCAGTCTCAAGCCCCGATCTGGGTTTGTCTCAAACCCAGATCGGGGCTTGAGACAAACCCAGATCTGGGTTTGTTTTGATGAAGAAGCAGCAACAGCAGCAGCTAAAACTAATGAGTGGAAGAAAGCATGGAGGCTCACGAAAAAACCAAAGCAATCTCCACTTAATCCATCTCAGGGCAAATCTGTGTTTGTTTGTTTTGGAGAGGAAGAAAAACCGATAAGAGAGAGAAAAGAATAAGAAAGAAAATGAAGTTTTTATTTTTTTGTTTTTAGTTTTGAAAAATTATAAAATAAAAAAAAAATATTAAATTTTCTTACATGGAATTTACACGTAATTAAAATTAAAAAAATCCAGTGATTTGCTGGCAAGTTAACGTGCCATCTGTCATTTAACTGACGGAAGGACCATTTTGGTACCAAAAATGAAAGTCAAAGGATAATTTTGGTACTTTTTAAAGGTGAGGGACAATTTTGGTACCAAAGTGAAAAGTTGAGGGACCAAAATGGTACTTAAACC